ACTTAACCCTTCTCAGCAATACAAGGATCTAAGAGATCTCCGGAAGTCTCATGATGGGAAATACTATCCACATCCAAAGAAAGAACTATGGAGATACTATTTGCTATTTTTTTTCCTTCTGTTGTGTTTTGTTTCCTCTTTCTGGTGGTTCCTCCTGTTGGTTCTAATTCTTCCTTACAACATCACTAATATAAAAATATGTTTAATAGAATGTATATGTGTAGCCTATATCAAATCGCACAACATCTTGGGAAGGGAGGTGGGGAGGGAGGGGGAGAAAAATTTAAAACTCAAAAGCTTATGGAAGCGATTGTTGATAATTCAAAATAAATTAATTAAAAAAACTAAATAAAAAGAAAAATTAGGTGTCTAATTGAAACCTGCTGCCTAACCTAACCAAAAGAAGAAGAAAGTTTAGGAAGGATGTCATTGGATTATAGATTTGTAGCTAGAAAGGATCTTAGAATATCTAGTCCAAACTCCACATTTTGTTACGCAGCAGAATTTGAATACGGGCCTTCCTGACTTTAAGGCCAGCCTTTAATCCACTACTGCATGCTGCCTGTCTGTCTTATTTTTCAGACTTCTTATGCAGCCAAACTAAGAGTGGGTTCAAGTAACTTACTATGATAACTAGGACAATCTGGACTTTCAGTTTTTAGGTGTCCTTGAGAAGTATAATCGAGAAAACCAGTATTGAGTTCAATCCAGAGTGTCCAAATGAAGTATTCTTTTTGAATTGAGAATACTCTGTATCTAAAATAACTTGAAATTTAGGGCAGTAAAAAAAAAATAAGAAAACAGTTTGAATACTAAAATATCAATAGTGAATAGCAATCCTAATGAGATGTTCTCCAGGCCTTCCAGTTTCCTATCTATGAATCTTCCCCCTTATGCCTGGAAGTTACTGGACACACATTTCCTGCTTTGGCTCTTTATTGTAAATGTTATTATTGCTATTGTTATTTTTAAACTCCTTCATTTATGTATTTTTGAAGTGATAAGAGACAAGAGGGAGGGGAAGGGAAAGGAAAGCTGTTGAAAAGGTAATCTTATTTCAGGTATAAGAATGCTAGTTGAATAGTCCATGTAGTAGGAAAGTACATAAACTTAGCTAAAAATTGCACTTTTTAAAATTTCTGTTAAGAAGATTTAGGGGATATAGTTAGTGATGAGGTCAGAAGCCAGATTTCAGAGGATTAGAAGAGAGTAAGAAGAGACAGTTTTCTTAAGAAATATAGCAAGTTAGGGAAACAAGTGAGCATGGTAGGATCAGATCCGGTTGTTGTAAAAATCTAATGAGTTAATGTAGGTAAAACAGTCAGTAAACCTTAAAGTTTGTAAAAACCCTACTGTATGTAAATACAACCTCATTTACTATTTATAAATACAGGCTATTATTATCTAGAATAGTTAGGGCCAAAATGTCAGAATACTTGAATTGATTTTGAGTGTTTTATTTTTTAAAAATTACTTTAGCTAAATCACAAGTAATTAACATTTTGAGCTCTTTTTAACTGTTCAAGCCATGAAATGACCCTCTCCCCAAAATGGACCAAATAGAAAAGGAGAATAACTGAGAGGGTGGGTTTACTTCTAAGATACTCAGTCCTGTTTGGAGCTGCACAAAACACTAGCACCTAGCTCAGTAGCTTGCTTAGAGAAGGAAAATTAATAAATATTTGTTGAATGAATGAAAATCATTGCCCTTTTCCTTTTGTCCCTGAACTATGAATATTAATACATCTATTGAAAATTTAGTAAATAGAGGAGAAAGACTTTTTATAATAAAGTAGACTATAGTTATGTGCATTTAAGGACCAGGTACAGTTTGGTTTTACTCTTTGTATCTTTGGATGCACTCTTGTAAATTATTTTCTAGTTAGTTCATAAACACTTATTAAGTACCTACTACATGCCAGGGGCTGTACTAAGCTCTTGGGATACAAATAAGGAAAAAGAAAGACAGTTCTTGCCCTATAAGGAACTTATAATTTAATGGAGGAAGACCCCATGCAAGAGGAAGCTGAGGAGGAGGTAGCTGACCCTGGGGCATGACGGAGAAATCAGAGGAATGGGGCCAGGTGGGAAGTGAAGAGATGGCTAGCCTGTGCTCCTCCTTAAGTGGAGGTTTTGGAACCCACTGGTCCACCCTGCAATTACAGGGGGAGAGGGGACTGGTGGACTGAAATTTTTGCCTACCACTTCTTGTTTTTTTTTCTTGAGATGAGATTCTGGGTTTGATATTTCGTCTTAGACCATAAAATAATGAGTGTTTTTGGGCATCTTTAAATTGATTTAATTTGTATTTGATTTAGACTTTTGGTATACATCTGGAAATATGATAATAGTAATAGTGGATAGATATAGGTAATAGTAATAAGTAGTTTAAATGAGTAATTTCAGGGATCACTTTAATTCTTCATGTTATTTCATTTATAGCTATAAGAAGTATATTTCACTGGCTCATAAGTGCTTAGGTATAGAGCTGGAAAAGGGCTTAGAGGTCATGTAATTTACTCTCCCCTCTCCCCTGCAGATGAGAGACCTAAAGCCCAGAGAAGCTGCATAAACTCTTGCTTAAACTCATATAAGTAATAACTGAAGATCCAGGATATGAATCCAGGTCTTATGCCTCCAAGCTCATTTTTTCTGTTATAGATTACTCTATTCTTTAATTCCCCTCCACTCAGTAGCCTTTATTGCTGTATAGTTGTTTTAGTTGTGTCTTCCTAACCCCTTTTGGGGTTTTCTTGGCAGGGATACTGGAGTGGTTTGCCATTTCCTTTTCCAGCTCATTTTACAGATGAGGAAACTGAGGCAAGTAGGGTTAAGTGACTTACCCAGGGTCACATAGCTAGTAAGTGTTTGAGACCAGATTTGAACTCAGGAAGGTGAGTCTTCCTGACTCCTGGTCTCTCCACTGTACCACCTAGCTGCCCCACCCAGGAGCTTTAAAAACCCCTTTATGTTATCCTTAGCATCCTTCACCAGCCTCAGTTCATTAGGTTTGAATCCTGATTGAGATGTTCTAGATATGTATTTTCCTAGGCAAGTCACTTAACCCTCTCTGAGCTTCAGGTCTTCCTCGTCTGTAAAATGTGGAGTTTGGACTAGGTATTCTAAGATCCTTTCTAGCTACAAATCTATAATCCAATGACATCTTTCCTATAGTTTTCTTCTTCTTTTGGTCTGTAGATCCCTTGTATTTAAAGGGTTGGACAAAATTTGGTTCGATTGCCTTTGTTTTATCGGTAACCTTTTTCTGTATGTACAATTCTTAAAGATGTCAGATGTCACCTTTACATTCCATTTTAAATCTTTAATGACTGACTGACTGAATGAATGAATGAAGCCTTTATTAGCCTGTCAATAAACAGTTATTAAACACCTAGTCTGTGCCAGGCACAGTGCTGAGTGCTGGAAATACAAAGAAAGGCAGGACATCCCTGCTCTTCAGGAACTCACAGTCTAATGGGGCAGAAAACATGCAAACAAGTATGTACAAAAAAGCTGTTTGCAGAATAATTTGGAAGTAATCATCAACAGAGGGAAAGCATTAGATTTTGGTGGATGATTGGAGGTGGGGAAGGGAGGGAGTTGGGAAAGGCTTCCTGTAAAAAGTGAGATTTTAGCTGGGACTTGAGAAGCCTACTTCCACCTGGAGGGAAGGAGAAAGAGAGAGTATTCCATGTATGAAGGTAGCCAGTGAAAATACCAGGAGTCAGAATCAGGAGATACAGACTGTCTAGTTTGAGGAGCAGGCTGAGGCCTATATCACAAGATCACAGATGGGGGGGGGGGTGCACGGTAACTGGAAGGTTGGGGAGGAGGTCTGATAATCTTTGCAAAGCACTGTGTTAAGTAGGCACTGGAGATAAAATTAGAAAAGTATTCCAGCCTCTGGGGAGCTCACAGTCTAATGGGAAAGACATTGCATATGGAAAGTTCTGGCTTCAAGTCAAATGGAAAGGTCCTTTGGTCCTTACCGTATAGCAGCAAAACAGATGGAAATGCCTAGCATAAATAATAACTATTTATGTTATCATGCAGTTGGAAGGCATGGACAGAACTGACTGACCACGTCACCATTCAATGTCATTTCCACTGAAAAAGTCATATCAGTTTTTTGAGGTTGTACCATGTGACATTGCCAAGGTTTTTGGTGACAAGAACTTTATTTTCTGTAACTTCAGTAGATATATCTGTAGGAGCACTGGACTAAAAGCATTGGTGTTTAATACTCTCAGCCAGGTGAAGCCCACCCCTCAAAATGCAGAGGAGTCCAATCTGGGTTGAAAGCAGAAAAGTTTTATTAGGAGGAAAATCAGACACTAGTGCTGAGGCTTCCTGTTTACAAGGTACAGAAGAGCCCACAGCCCAGGAGAGGCAAGGGAGATTTGTGCCTGAAAACCACAAAGGGAGATGTTGGGTAAAAGAATGGACAGTCTATCTCAGGAACAGGGAGACACAGAAGTAGAACATTTTGCAGAAACAGTTGACCACAAAACTGGTTTGGGCCAGTTTAGGGGGCACAGCTCAGCAAGATTAGCCAGTGAACCCCTACAAAAGTGTCTGGGAGCGAGCAAGACATTGGCTCACCGTAGGCTCCTGATTGGCTCCTTTCAACAAACAGGCTTACTTTGTGTCCAGTGCATCTGCCTGGTAAGGTAACTCATAGAAAACAGACGTTAATCTCAGGGGCACTTCTATAATACCTATATTGAACACTATATAGAAGACAATCTGTTTTTATAAATCTTACACTATTGGCTTTGGTCTTTCTGGAAATATGTAAATGAATGCACTTACTGTATGGCTTCCCCTCCAGAGAAGCCTCTTGATTTCTTGGTCAGTGTTTGAGGGAATTTCATCTGCCTGAGGTACTGAAGAATTTTTATCTTTCCATTGCCAAGGTTTTACTATCATAATAATTTATCATGCTTTTAAAAAGGGGCACCAACATTAACACAGGAATAATTTTTGTGTTTCCTTGACAGAAATCACAGCCCATTAATGAGTTTTGGAGCCAGCTTTGTCAGTTTTTTGGTAAGTTGATCTGGGAATAGAATAAAGGGAGAAGAGAATAGATAGGTTCTATAAGTCTGTTCTTTCCCTACTGTTTGGAAAAGATCATAGAGAGTTTGAAATCAAAAGTAAGCCTGAATTATTAAACAATGTCTACTGGGTCATTTTCCTTCCTTATTTTAAAACTAAGATGTTTATGAATTTTCTACTTTTGGATTTTTATATTTTCTTTATTTAAAAAAATCAATTGTTAAAACACAGATACAATTGAAAAGGCTGCCCAAGAGAGAAAATTCCCTCTAGGATTATTAAAAGGGATGAGATTTGAGTTTAAGCAATAAAATTATACTCTAATATAATTGTGAATGTGAGTCAGGATAGTCAAACCAAAGTTTGCCAATTATTGTCACATTAGAAGCCCAGCTATAGGAAATTAGGGAAGAAGGATGGAGCTTGCTTATACAATAAATTGAATAGTGTTTAAGAGTTCATAATTTGGGTACTTTTTATTAACTCATACTTAGAAAAGTACAAGATATCATGCAAACAACATTTAAACCAAGTATATTCTTAAAAATGTTAACAGTAGATGGATTTTTACAAATCATTCCTTACCTCCAGTTATAAATTGGTAAGTAGAGGCATAAACAACAGGAAAGAAAAAAAAATAGACCAGCCTGCAGAAGGAGGAGGAGTAGTAGTAGTAGTAATAATAATAATAATAACAAAAGTAAAAGCAGCTGTGATATTTATATAGCATTTGCTATGTACCAGGCATTATACTAAGTGTTTTAAAACTGTTTTCTCATTTAATCCTCACAATACTGTGGGATATAGGTGTTATTATTATCTCTATTTTACAGATAAGGAAACTGAGTCAAATGGACGGTAAGTGACTTGTTCAGGGTCACATAACCAATAAGTGTCCGAAGCCTAGCCTAATTTTTAACTCAGGTCTTCCTGACTACAGGCCCTATACTATATCTACTGCACCACCTAGCTACCTCAATTAGCGTTAGCATTACCTCATTAGTATTAGCAAAAAGTGGAGAAACAGGAAATGGTATAAACCAGAAAAGCAAATAAGATGGTCAGTGTTACTACTTTGGCTACTCTATTGAAGAAGAATCTTGCTGCATAAGAAAATCATTAGATACTAGGATTCAGAGAACCTTTTTTTTTTCTCATCTTTTTTTTTTTTCTACGCACTTACTAGCCAAGTGACCTTAGATAAAGTACTTAATCTCTTAGCTTCGCTTTTCTCATATGTAAAATGGATGTGCTGCCCTGTCTTACCTCACAGAGTTATGGTAAAGGTTAATGGAGATGGGTGGTGGTTTGGGTCTTTTGTTTGTTTGTTCATTTGTTCATGTGTGAAAGTACTAAAGGATGTGAAGGAGTATTAGAGATGGTGATAGTATTGATAAAGATTATTATTATTGCCTTTTCTTCTTGCCCCTGTCTGGAACTAGTTGAGCAGGAAAACATGACTGGAAGTGAGATCTCACTGTACCTTTTTACTAAAGACAGCATAATTTTTGGAGTTTTCAATAAAACTACTCTGTTAGTAGCCATCTAAAATCATTGTTATTTGAAAAGACTCTCCAAGGTTAGATTAGATGATTTCTGAGATCATATCTTTTTTTTTTTTTTAAGGCAATTGGGGTTAAGTGACTTACCCAGGGTCACACATCTAGTAAGTGTCAAGTGTTTAGTCTGAGGCCAGATTTGAACTCGGGTCCTCCTGACTTCAGAGCCGGTGCTCTATCCACTGCACCACCTAGCTGCCCCTGAGATCATGTCTAGTTCCGACACTTTGTGAGTCTCATTGTCATAGTACGGTAGAAAATCCACAGGCTTAGGAGTCCATAGTACTGGATTTCAGTCTCAGTTTTTTAGCTAAATAGTTGTGACTTCAAATGAGTCACGTTATAGTTCTCTCATCTGTAAAATGAAGAAATTGAACTGGATGATTGACTAGTAACATTCTAGGAGAGTGTTCTAAAAGAATTTATGCTTTGTATTTGTTACACTTGAACTTCTTTGAAACATTTTATAGAGCCAGGGATCTTCTGGGCAGGCAGAATAAATTTAGGACTGTGAACCCAGGGTAAAAACTGCTGCCATAAGTATGCTAATCAGAAAGTAAAAGATCTTTGTTACTCCTTATAGAATAAAACACTCAAATTTAATGTAGCAAAGATTGTTTCAATCAGTAATTGCATACATATTTATTACTATAAATTTTTCTTTGCAGATCTCATATGGTAGCTTTTTATATTAGAGTTTATTGGTAAGAAATTGGAATACAAGGTCAATTCTGATTCTGGAAAATATAAGCCTTTATTAATTTTTTTTCTTTTGTAAGAACTGATTGAAGGAGAATAACTTTTTTTCCATTTTTGGGTTAGTGTAACTTTGTGTACATTCATTATTTTTTCCTGTCAAAATTTAGATATAATAAACTGTCTTATATTTTCTGACAGTTTATGATTTAATCTTTCACATTTTTATTTTTGGAAGAATGCCATGATGACATTTGAAGAAGAAAAAATGCAGTTGGCATGTGATGACTTAAAAACGACAGAAAAACTATGTGAAAGTGAAGAAGCTGGGGTTATTGAAACAATCAAGAATAAGATCAAGAAGAACGTAAGTACAACATCATTTAAATGATGAATTTGGCGCATTTGGGAAGATGGCTGCTTGGTTCTGACATTAATTACTACTGTGCCATGCTTTTGGCAGTTAGAACACAAATTTCATATTATTAAAAAGAATAAGAAAATAATTTACATATTTATCAACTGGAACTGTTTTCTGATTAATAGAACTTTTAAAAGGCACTACTGTCACTCAGCATGTTGTATTCAGTAATATGGAGATTCTGTAGGTGCAAGGTGATGACTTGGCTTAAGAAGTAAGCTTCATATTTAGAGATATCTGTTCCACTTTTCCTTGTACAGTCTTCTCGATGACCCCTAAGTTTCCTTCCACCTTTCTTGTGAGTTACTTACCAAGGACGTTTAGATATTTCTCGAAGTCAGCAATTTGGCATTTATGCATTTGGAAATTAGGGTGAGAGAGATGGGAAGGTTTAATGTTAATTTCTCTCTCATGAATGCATTTTTAATATTTAGATGGTCTTTATTCTCCAATTGTCATCCTTTGACTTTGATACTTGAAGAGTATCTTTAATTAATTACTATTAAATGAACAAAACCTTTTCCCTATCTAATATTGCTCCTGAGATTTTACTTAGTAGATAACTTATAGTTTCAAGTGTATAAGGAAAAAATATGGGAAAACTTTGACAGGATTATTTCAGTCCATTTGTATTGGTGTATTTCAAAACAAAAATTACTATAACATCATTTAAGCACTGAAATATTTTCTTAAGCACGCATTAGTAATGTGGTCATAATATGGTTCTTGTGTTCTTTTAAAGGTAAGTAAAAAGGTAAAGTAAAAAAAAAATATGAACTACCGTACTTTGTAAATTTGTCCAGTAGTGTTTCTTCAGCATCTACATAGGTTGTTTTAAAAGAAGTCTCATTTATTTTCCAGTGCCAAGTATAGTGACTTGCACAAAATAGGTAATTAACATTTGTCAAATTGAATTTTCAGCATGCGTTTGGATTTTTTTGTTTTCTTATTGCTATTTTAAATGTTCTTATAGGATATGAGTTGAAGTGTTGACATATTTTAAAAAGATATTGTGGAATCCTTAGCATATATTACTAAATTTCATTTAGCCTTTTCTCTAAAATTATATTCTAGAAATATTTTCACTATATATTTTTTCTGTGAAAAGTTTGGAAATGTTATCATGACTCTAGTTGTCAATTTTAATCATAGTAGCTAAGATCTAACAGTTATTTGTGGATACTTTGAAACTCTTATGTCCCTTTTTCTTACATGCTTAGAATTTTTTTTATAAATTTATTATTTTTAGTTTTCAGCATTCACTTTTATATGATTTTGAGTTCTAAATCCCCCCCATGGCATTGCATAGCATTTTTAAAAGTTTATTTTCAACTAAACTAAAATTAATAGTAATTTTTACTATAATCGTGATGTTTTTCACTAGTCATTTCTGTAACTATTAGATAAGCTCTATTTCATCTTCTTAGAATGACTTTTATAGGGTCCAGTGAGACAAATCATTTAATGAAGACACTCATATTATCGTTTTATGCTTTCTTCGCAATCTGCAGAAACTCTTTGTCATAGTCATTATGTTAAACCCGTGACAAACCATTAGTCAAATTCACTCTTCTTATTATTCAACCTCAAGATAGTTTTATCTGAGTTAGAGCACTGAGTAATTTTTCTCTAAGGAGGTTAAAATTTTTTTAAATAGTCCCCTTCTGTTTTAGTTTTGTTTCTTATTTATATCCTCTGTTCTTGAAGCTTCAAATTCAATCCACTCTAAGGCAGAGTTTCTTAACCTGTGTCTGTGAACCTGCTTGATAGATACGTAGATAAATAGCTGTATTTCGGTATAATTGATTTCCTTTGTAATCCTGTATATTTTGTTTTATGCATTTAAAAACACTATTCTGAGAAGGGGTCCATATCCATAGGTTTCATCAGCTTGCCAAAGGTATCCCTGACACAAAAATGGTACATAACTCTAATGGATTAGACTTCTTGAGAAATGTTGCTGTTGTTGTTGTTGTTTAAGAGGTATGGTTCAAGGATGTTGTGGTGGAAATTAATTGCTTTGTAGCCAAGATTTTGCCTTTTTTAGAAAAAATTGAAAAGAATCCCCATGACAATGAAATAATTTAAAAAAATCACACCAGATTGCCATTTAGTACATTTGAGTACAGAAGAGATAAATATCAAGATGAAATTGCCCTCATTGCTGTGAATGAAGCTTAGCTTAGCTTCCCTTTTTTCTCCCTGCATTTTCTTTATAGACCCTCCTCTTCTGAAGGTACTCAATGGCCTTCCCAGTATTTAGGATAGAAATCTGTGAGCTTTCAATTTTGTGACTTTAGTTGGCATCTCAGTTCTGTTACCTTCCTTACCGAATTATTGTAAGGATGACATTGAGATAGATGACAAAGGTAAAACACTATTCAGATTTGATTCATTGTTATTATGATCATTAGGATTTTTGATTTCATTCGTGTGGGTACTTCTAACACCTTTGCAGGTTTCAACCCTCCCATGCCTTTGTTGATGGTTTGAAGTGGCATGGCCAAAAAAACTGATCACATGGTAATTGAGCCTTGCCTGTCTTAACTAGGTTGATTTACTGATTAATGAACACTCTAGATCAGGGGTTCTTAACCTGGGTTTTGTGAACTTGTTTTTTTAAATATTTTGGTAAATGAGATTGTTTACTGTCTCAGAGAGGGAGGAAAGGATGGAACTTGGAACTCAAAACTTAAACAAAAAACAATGAATGTTAAAAATTATTTGTATACATAACTATTTTAAAATAAAGTTTTTTAAAAAAATTTTGACAAATGCAATTCAATATAATTTATAAGCCTATGTATTTTATTTATATATTTTAAAACATGATACAAAAAAGGTCTAGAGAGACTATAAGCAAGCCTTTACAACTTGGTGTAATAACTAGTTGGGCTTTGTTAGGTTAATGCTTAACTATCTTTCCCCTCATGACATAATGAAGCATAGGAGTGGGAATTTATTTCTATGCATATACAAAGATAATGTTTTACATAGCTTTAAAAGCCAAGTTTAACTTGATACATGGAGGACAGGTGTTACTCTTTAATTCAAATGTATATTGCCCACCATATTCAAAACGTTGTGAACGTTGATACGGGGATACAAAATCAAAATGGCAATGGCCCCTGCCCTTAAGGAACTTACATTCTACTGGAGGAACAAGATGTTGAATAGGAAAATGACACTTTGATATTTAGGATCTGTCATTTTGTTGGTGTCTGTATTCCTTCCTGGATAATTCTTGTCCGTGTTTTCTATAAATTTTCCATAATGGAAAGCCACAGAGCAACACTTGGAGAATAGTTCAAGAGATGGACTTTTGTTGCAGCAAGCAGGGATCATTGTGTAATAATATAATTGTATAAAACCACTCAGTAATTTCTCAAATATAATCCATTCCAAACTCCTTCCCCCAATTCTGAGGCTCAGCTCACTGTCCATCTGTGTCATCTTTCCAAAATACGTATCACAGAATTATAAAATCTGAGAATTGGTAAGGACTCTGTCACCTAGCTCACTCTGCTTACTCCATTACATTCCTGACAAATATAATACTCCTGGCTTGAAGGCTTCTAATAATGGGAGAAGTTAGCTACATCCCAAGATCATCTATTCAGCTTTTTAGGAATTTTTTTCCTTACATAACAACATGTGCTTTTGTGTAACTTTAGTAATTGCTCCTACTTCTATTATCAGGGAAAGTAAAGCAAATCTAATTCCTCTTCTACTTGCCAGTCATTCAAGCACTTAATTCATTTATATTCAACAAATATTTATTACTTGCAAAGCAAAATGCTAGGTCCCAAGAATACATAAAGATAAAAACCCAAGACAGAGACTACTCTCGAGGAACTTGAATTTTTGTACCAAGTACATTGATCCAAAGATCTTTCTACTGAAACGGTATTTAGGGATTCTGTTCCTAGGGCTATCCTGTTTCAAAAACACTGATTTTAATTTCATTTGCTATACTCGTTAAGAAGTCTTTTCCAGCAGTGCTCCACAAGTGGGTAGGGCTAGAATTATACTGCTGCCACCTTTTCACGGAATTGGCATTGCATGAGAATGTGAAATTCAGTTGTGCATGAGGAGGGAAATAGCCATCATCCCCCTGGACTCAGCATTTCTTTACAGTTAATTTCGTTAGGTTCTTCATCTTATTATCTGAGAACACACGTAGTTTCCATTTTCCTCACAGTTCTTGTGGCCTTCTTTTGAACACTCCCCAAACTGTCAGTGTTCTTCCCAAAATTCTACAGGCAGAACTTAAAATCAGTATTCCCTATATGATCTCACTAGGGCAGACCACAACAAGATTTTTCCTCCCTTTACCAGTCCATCAAAACTCCTTCCTGTCTTTCACATGATGACTGTTATGTAGCTGTACTTTCCCTATCCTGTGTCTGTATAGTTGATTTTTTTGAACCAGAGTATAGTCTTTACATTTATTTAGATTACACATTTATTAAGTAACTACTATATGAAAAACAATATGCTGGGCACTGTGATACAAAGACAAAAATTAAATAAGTCTTTACCCTCAAAGTATTTACATTCTGCTGGGGCCATATGACATCTACACTGTATACATGAAAGTGTAATACATAGTTTGAGAAGGGAAAAAAACACCAGCAGGTGGGCTAATATCAGGAAAGACTCCATAGAGGTGGGGCACCTCATCTAGTAAAAAGACAATTTTGTAAGACACAGATGAGGAAGTACTACATACCAAAGATAGGTGACAGTTTGTATGAATGCATGCAGACAGGAGATGAAATGTTGAGTTGGGTAAATAGTTAATAGTCTAGTTTTCCTGAAATGTAGAGAGCATGAAGGGGAGCAGTAATATAAGATATACTAATAAAGTTTAGATAGGAGCTAGATTGTATAATGGGCAATTAGGTGTTGCAGTAGATAGAGCGCAGGGCCAAGAGTCAGGAAACTCATCTCCTGAGTTTAAATCCAACCTCAGAAACTTACTAGCTGTGTGACCATAGGCAAGTCAATTAACCCTGTTTATCTCAATTCCTCATTTGTAAAATAAGCTAGAGAAGGAAAGGCCAAAGCACTCCAGTATCTTTGCTGAGAATCCCTGAATGGGGTCATGAAGAGTCGGACACAACTGAACAAGACTGTATGAAGCATTAAATGCCAGTCTGTATTTTATCCTAGAGGTAGTAGGGAACTATTAACATTTTTTGAGCAGGAAAGTGATATCATCAGATCTGTGAGTTAGAATATTTTTGCCAAATCTGTGTCATGGATTAGATAGGAAAGAGACCAAAAACAGGGAGACTCCTTAGGAGACTTATAGTAGTCTAGGCAAGAGATGTGAGTGGCAATCAAAGAGAAGAGAGATGTTGTGTGGGTAGAACTGATCAGATTTATTTAGTGAGTGATTTGAATATCAAGGCTAAAAGAGAAGGAAGAGTGGAGGATGATTTCCAGTTATGAATAGGTGAATAGGAGGGTGCTAATAATCTCAGTACAAACAAGGAGGTTTGGAGAAAGTGTTTGAGGGGCAGGAACATAAGTTTAGTTTTTGACACGTTCAGCTTGATTCCCCAATAGAAGTATCCAGAAAACATATAAAGTGAAGGGATAGAACCTAGGATTTAGGACAGGATCACCATGGTGTAGAGGAAGAAAAAAAAAGCATGGTCCAGGGCAGCACTTGGAGGATGGAAATTAGATGGAGATTTTTTAGCAAAGGAGACCAAAGAAAGCTCAATCATACAGATAGATGGAGAACCCCATAAAGAGCAGTATCATGGAAGCCAAGGGAAGAAAGGATTTCCAGGATTAGATGGTGGTCAGTGGTATAAAAAAATTGCACAAGATAAGGACTGAGAAAAAATAATCAAATTTAGCAGTTGAAATTATTGGTAATCTTTGAAAGAGCTGTTATTTCTATTAAATTTCATTTTCTTCGATTCTATAGATAATTTGAGTGTATCAAAGCTTGAATTTATGAAGTGCTTTACAGTTTTACAAACTGCTTTCTCTTCGTAACCCTGTGAACTAGGTAATATGAGTATTTTTATTCCCATTTTATAGATGCAGATACTGAGGCTCAGAATTTGTGACTTGCCTCAAATCACATTGACAGAGTCAAGACTTGAAGCCAGGTCATCTGATTCCAGTGCTCTTTCCATTATACCAGTCTTCGGTAGTGTGGCAGCTTGTTCATTGTTGAATAAAGGTCACTCCTTGAGAACAGCAACAATTTAATGTTTTCTGACAGTTTAAGAAGTGTGTCATTTTTAGCACCTTTATACCACTGTTCTGCTGTACATCACTACAGAAACACAAGAGTACCATAAGGTTGAGAAGCATTATTTTTTCACTTTTGTCCATTTCATGAGTTGCTGTAGCCAACATAAACAAATAAATTATCACTTACGTAGCGGCTAGTGTTCTGGTAATGAGCCTTACTTAGCCAAGATGGTTCTGAGAACCAGCGGGGCTCATGTTCAAAAGCTTTTTCAGTACCATAAATCTACTACAACTTGCACTCCTGCATTCTCCTGACATAAACCTTCAAGAACCCAGGTCAATACCACAACGAAAGGGTTATCAGAACAGGATTATCTTTGTGGAGAAGCTAATCTCCATGCCTTTTAAAATTCAGTGTCTGATCACTAACTTTTATTTTTGTCAGACAGACTCCTCATATCTTGTCTTATGACATCTGAGAAACCATAGATAGAAGAACATTTGCCCTTAAAACTGCAGCAGGAATTAGTAACAATTTTTTTTCCCACATTAGAGGGTGGGTGACAATGAGAGGACTATTACCTCCACTCTTTTTTCTTTTTGTTACAGAGCAGTTTTGAGGGGTGCTGGGCAGAACCCAAATGTCCACAGACAGTGAAGTGTTGTTTTTTTGTTTGCTTGTTTGTTTTACAAAACAGCTTGTTAAAAATTAGTTTGCTTCTATAGAACTTTGTGGCCACTGTGGCCCAAGCCTTTTTCTCCTGCTTTCCCAGTACAGTCAGTATGGTTAAAGGTATGGGACAGTATCTCCAAGAACCAAATTAAGCTTAAAGCTTGAGTTTCTTCTAAACTGGCCCTCAGGCCAGCTCCTTCTTTCATTTGGGAAACAGACCCTTCTGTGTCGAAGCTTAGAGAGGGAGGATTAATTAAAGAAGAAGAAAGGAGAGAGACAGAGTCTGGGAATAGAAGGACAAGAAGGTAATGTTAGTCATACCAGCCATTTTTATCATCTCTATAGCATCCCTATCCTTCTTGTCCTATCAAAGAAGCCCAATAAGATGATGCTTGTTAGGAGGATCAGATGAGATACTATTCATAAAGCTCTTAGCACAGTGGCTGCCACATGGTGCTATATAAATTCTACCTCTTATTACTGTTATTATTACTATTACTATTATTATGGTGGCTAATATACAGGCATTTATATAGTGCCTTAAGGTTTGCAAAACACTTAATGTATTTATCATTTGATCCTCACAGCAACCTGGAGAGGTAGATGCGATTATTATTCCCATTTTACAGATGAGGAAACAGGCTGAGAGTGGTTAAATGACTTGCTCACATTCACACGGCTCTTACATGTCTTAGGCAGGATTTGAACTCAGTTCTTCCTCGCTGCAGTTTCACCACTTTGTCTACTATACTACTCTGCTGTCTTCTGCCCACAGGTCCTCATAATCTCTTTCAGCGTTAGTTGACCTGCTGGGAGCTTTTGTTCCACTGGCAGAACCTTCAAAAACATCAAGTCCTTCCCCTCTGCACCATGATGAATAGACAGCGGAGTAGGACTTTGTGGAGGGGGAGGTATTTGTATAGTAAGTAGATCTAAGTTGTAGGGGCCACTTTTGCTCCTCCCTGACTTCCTAAAAGTACGTAGTAGGGAGAGGGTGAATTTTACTTGCAACTAAGCATTCATTTCCCTTTGTGAGTTCTCCAGTTTTAAGGCTAGGCTGGTTTTGTTTTGTTTTTTTTTTTTTTTTAATCAATCATCCATTAGATTCCTAGGTATTTCCACTCCAACTATACATACTCTCCAACCTCTTAGCTACCATGAGCCAGATTACTGTGGGATCATAAACTGACTTTATTATAAGCCTAAAGAAAACATAATTAGGATGGCAAATATTTCAAATTAACTTTTAGGTTCTTTACTCTTTATATTAATTTGTGCCATCATTTCCCTCTATTAACTTTGCATAAACGAGAATTGACTGTTCAACAAAAAGGTAAAGAAACTGAAAACTGCAACATTAAAACAATCAAGCTTGACTCCAAAGAAGACATATATAAAGTAACCCCGTTCCCCCTCTTTAAGAGGTGGGGGACTGTGGGTTTGGAACATGGGGAAAATAATAAAAAAACAAACATTAATAAAAATTTATTCTTATAAACAAGGTAAAGAAAGATATGCAGACTTGAATAGGTTCTTAAAATTCACTTTTAGTTACATAATGTTTTGAGATACTTCATTCAAATTTTATAAATTTGGCTAAATATTCCATAGGCAACACTCTTAAAATAACAAGTCACGTCAATGAAGCTGTAAAATGTAAAACACTGTTAAATTATGACACATGTTTGAGCAATTAAGTTTCACAATCCTAATTTTAGAATTGTTTCATTCAGTAAAAAGAAAAGATATCTCAAACGGGTAGCGCATAAGATTGCTATTTTTATGTTTTATTATGACATTTCCTTTCCTTTTTTGCATTATTCAAACAGGTTGATGCTCGAAAATCTGCACCATCTATGGTTGATCGACTTCAGAGACAAATAATTATAGCTGACTGTCAGGTTTACTTGGCTGTACTTTCTTTTGTGAAACAAGAGTTGTCAGGTAATGCTGAAACATTTTTAACGTTTTACTCCATTTCAGTGGGTAAATTACCAATAGGACTCTTTTTTTTAGAAGGCCACCTATTTCAGCCTCTGAAAATATAGGGTACCAAATGCTTCTTATTATCACTTACTACTTAAGAAAGGTAAACCAAACACACAAGCAAATACTTGGCAATGGGAGTAGTAGTAGTAGTATGTCTCTGCTTCATCCTCTTGTCTCAGCAGTGTTTGCCAGAGGTGGGGAACCTGTGGCCTCGAGGCCCTTAAGTTTGGCCCTTTGACTAAATCCAAACTTCACAGAGCTATCCTTTTATTAAGGATTAATTAGTTAAGTTAAAAGATTTATTAGTCCTTTATTAAGACAGTCACTTCATGTTGGTGATGAAAGTGGAGATGACCATTGTCTTCTAGTTCACCATCATCTTCTATTTCATACTTCGTTTCTGTGTGGCAACCAGTCTGGCGTTATGAACCTTAAAATGAGAAATTACTGGTTAGAGCTCTATCTTTCGAATATAGATTTTGAAGGCTGAAAAAAGAAATTACTAATAATCTAGTTTCCTTGAATGAATAACATTTTAATCTTCATTTTAAAAATGTAAACACATCCCTTTTTTGTTTGGTCATAGAAAAGTTCTATTGCTTCTTCCCTTTACCCATCCAATAGAATCTGATTTCCTAACCAGAAAGTAATGTCTAAATTTAGCAAAATAAATTACTTTTTCAGATATTCATTGTAAGGGCCTGTCCAGTACTACTAGTAAAAACTTATCTTATGAATAGGCAAAAACTCTTTGAGAAGAAAAATCTAAAATTAGATTTTACTTTAAAATTGTGTAAGATATTTTGCTACTTAGTTGAGATACAAACTTTCCTCATCATACAACATTCTGAAGTCATTTCATTCATTATTGGAAAAATCAAAGATGTTTGGTTGCTAATTGGGTCAAGTTAAAATTAAATTTGACTTTTACTTGAGTTCTGATATGTTAATACAATAAGACTTTGGTATTTCACTAACATGGATACAACCTGTCCATGTTAGATCTTTTCCTTTTCATCATCCCAAATCTCTTCCAGTAACTTACTGGTCTGGACACTGAATACTTGTCTGATGAAAGGCCTATAAATCAGAAGACATGGACGCTGCACTGGGCTGCAAAAAAGGAATAGTACAACACTATTTTTAAAAATTAATCATTTTCCTTTACCCATTATAGTGCATCAGAAATGAAAGAATAATAGAGTTTATCTAGAATTCTTTGTTCAAAAACAGGACAGTAAAGTCTACTTCTGTAGGGATCTCAAACTAAGGTTGTAAGCCTTCCTTATTTTTCCTTCTGACTTAAAAACTCCTTGGAAAGAAAGCTACTTTTAGACAGAAGTTGAGGCATGAGTTAATTTTTATTTCATCAATCCTGGTTTTTTGCAGGATCAGTTCATTTGAGTTATATTTAGTCTTTGCTGTTTTGACAATGTACCTACCTGGTTCTTTCTGCAGCTAAACAACCTTGTATGGATGTTGAAATGAAATTGTGACAGACAAGACGCTCTCAGATTCCAACAAAAATAGCTTTCTGCTGAATAGCTTCACATATATTTCAAAGCAACAGTATGCAAAATAAAAATGTGCTTAACTTGCCTGTCAGTGGCCCACTGGCTTACCATTTATTGTCTTCTATGTTGATTTTGCATTTGGGGATCTTTTTCTTAGGTGTTTTTTGAATGGACATTTTTCCTATGAGAAGTAGTCCTCCTGGGCATGAAAGTATTCAGGTGTTTGTTATAGGTGTTCCTCTCCTCTCTGGAGGGGTATGCAAGCTAGGGAGGTGTAGAAACATGTTCCCAGCCTTCCTGGATAAGGCGGCGTGGCCACCAGGCAAGGAGATGAGCAGTAGGTAGTGGGATAAGAGGACCATATGGCCAGAGTAGTAGTAATAATATCCACTCAAATTTTTGTACCTTATATTTTTTTTAAAATATTTTTTGACAATCATGAGAAGTAATATATTGTTATCCTTATTGCTCAAGATCACACAGCTTAGTTGTTTTTGTTTATTGTTGTTATTTTTCATCCAGGAGAGGTGGAAATAACAAATACAAAATGAATACAAAACAGAAATATAAAACCTGTGGGTGACCTCTGAGTGAGTAGCTTTACATCCAGGGTTGCATTCCATTCTTTATGGTTCCTTGGCCCTTGTGAGAGGAGTCAGTCTCTGGGTTGTGAGGACAGTTATGGGACATGGGGTGTGAGGATGGTTTCACAACCTGGAGTCAAATTGTTAGGAAACCCAAGCCCTACCTGGGAAGGGGGGTAGGTGTGGGGACAATATGACCAGAGGAGGGTGTGATGGACTGGGACTTAAGTGGAAGAATAAAGAGGACAGAGCTCAACAACTATGCTACTTCCGCTGTGGTAAGTATACTAGGACACAAATACACATAGTATTTGTAGTGTAGGCAGCTAAATGTCTTTCTGGAGACAGAAAGACCTGAGTTTGAATCCTGCCTCAGACACTTAGTAGCTGTGTGACCCTGGGCAAGTGACTTAATCTCTCTTAGCCTCAGTTTCCTCATCTGTAAAATGAGGTTAATAATAGCATCTTCCCCACATGGTTGTTGTTTATCTCAAATGAGACAGCATATGTAAAGTGCTTTGCAAACCCTTGAAACATTATGTAAATTATTAATCAATCGATAAATATTTATTAAATGCCTACTATGTGCCAAGGACTGAGGTTATTATTCATAGTAGTGGAAGCAGTAGTATACCTATTCACCAATGGAAATGCATCGTGCTGCCCCCTTCTTTCCTACTCCCCACCTTCCATCTCACTCAGTCACCATAAAAATTTAGTTTTGGGAAATGTTAGTGTATCTTGATAGGTTCTTTTCACAACTAAACCCTCTACCCATTATCACGAAAGAGTTAAAGGGTCAAAGATCCGTTTGTGGGGACAGAGACCCCAGTTCTGCTGCCTAGCTAGTTTGGGCCATGACTTTATTCCAACTTGACAGATTGTCTGTGGTTTTCTGTTTGTACCAATGAGTCATTCCACTGGTACAGACTTTCAGGAGCTGAGTGACTGATTGATTGAATGTGACATTTCAGAGGGACATCTCATCATTAAGAGATGAGAACAGAATGTGTGTGTGTGTGTGTGTGTGTGTGTGTGTGTAGGAGACAGATTATTGCCGTTCCCTCGCTGCTGCGTTGTGAGTGTGACATCATTGACTGCATTGCTGCAGACGACTGGCCTAATAAGTTTTACTCTGTAAGCTGCAGTACTATTGAATATGTAGTACAAACTGAGACTGGTCTGAAGTTCCCTCAGTCTCCATCTGGCTGAGCTTTGCTGTGTTTAGAATTTTATAGAACCATAATTATGGAAATAGTGCAGTGAGAGGGTTATCTTAGCCCCAAATTGTACTTAGGTACTACCATAAATAGTAAGAATAAAATGTTCCTTTAAATGAAAAAAAAATTATTTTGAATTTCATTGCAACCAGTTCTTTGTTTTAAATTGCTTAGATCTAAATTTAGGATTCTGTTTAGTAGCATGCAGTTGAGAGCAGCAAAATTTGTGGAATTTTATTATTTTTATGTGTTTTAAAGTAACAAAAAATTATGATGTCAGATTCTATAATAAGCTGTATTCATTTCATTTTTATTTTAAAGTGAACTTTACTTTTTTTTTAAGGAGAGCTCTGTGAAATATGCACAAAGATGAGGTTTCCTTTTTTGGGGTGGGGCAGAATAGTATTCCTACTGCTTCTACCCTTGTCTGGGCTCTTATTACTTCCAGATAGAATTATTTTAGCGAACCTCCTATCTGATGTCTTTTGTCCCCTTCCATTCTGTCTTGCATACTGCTGTGAAAATAATTGTCTTTAAACATTCTTTTTATTATGTCCCTTTTCTGTTTAGAGGCCAATGTTGGCTTTTTCCTACTATATCAAGAACATACTCTTCTGCCTGGCTTTCAAAATTCTCTATACTCTGGACCCACCCTTTCTCTAACCTAATTTTGTACTACTTTCCAACATGTACCCTCTAAACACCTGGGAGCACTCCATGTTAGCCTGGTAACATCGTTTATTAGCTCCACGAAAACATAACGTTAAAGTTAGTAATATTACAGTGGGTCAGGTGGTCCTATGAGAATGGTAATGAGCTGTGGTCCTCTGCAGGCTGCCCTCTGGACCAAGCTTTTCACCCTGAAGTCTCAACTTCAGCCATGGAATTCTCACTTTGGAAGTATCCTCTCCCCAGAGGCCTCTCCCTCTGATGTTTCCTCCCAGAACTTCTAATGAGATAATATTTGTAAAGCACTTCCCACAGTGCCTGTCACATAGTAGGTACTTAATAAATGCTTATTCCTGTTCACTTCCTTTTCCATTTAAGGCATCCAGGCCAACCATGACTCCTTCCTCTACAGGCTGCACTTCAGACTTTTCATACCGCACCCTCTCACCGGGCTCCTGTGTATCCCAGTCTCTGTCACCTCCTCTGCTTTTCAGCTCCCTTTGAGGTTTTAGATGTTATCTTCCCCCATTAGAATGTAAGCTCCTTGAAGGCAGAGCCTTGTTCTTTCTACTTATATTTGCATTCTCAGCTCTTAGCAGTGTTTAGCACATAGTAAGCACTTAATAAATGCTTGTTGACTGTTGATTTACTGGTAGGCTTGGGAGTGGAGAACAGGAACTGGAGCTCTTAATAGGGAGCAAGAACCAGGGAAGGCCAAGGAGCCTGAAGATGTCAGGATGGTTTATGGAAAGGGGCAGTTATGTCATTACGTTATTGCAAAATGACACTGGTTGGGACAGTGTCACAAGTATGCCAGTGTTTGTTGGCAATTTTTGCAATCCAGTGTAATTAGCAGTTAATTAGTTACTGTTTTGCATTGTTCAATTTTAGTTTCCCATGCATTTGTGTCTTCTTAATTGTTAACTCTTTGAGGGCACAAAACTTCTTTACAACCTCAGTGCTAAATGCACTTTGCATAGTTCTCACTCAGCAAATAATTGTTTGTCTAACAATTGTAGGTTTTTACAAATTCTCAGGTTCAGCCATTTTATTTGAAGCTCATCCTTTCACATTTTCAAGTGTGTTTTTTTAATTTCAGATTTGTTTCTTGTTTGCTAATCTTTTGCCACCTTTTAATCATCTTTTTTATCTGTATGTACTTGTGATAACTGCTAGCATTTTGCTTAGGGTTGCAGAAGTGTTACATTTTGTCCATGCTTTTTATGTTTATTTTTATTTGATGCTTTCATTAAGAAGGAAAAAAATAAACTAATGCTTTGTGAGCCCATTTATCTCTTTTCCTGCCTCTTTCCGACGCACAGTAGTGGTAAAAAAGAGCATTAGGGTTAGAATCAAGAGACCTAGATTTGTATCCCAGTCCCACCACTTATTCACTGTGTGACCATGGGCAAGTCATTGGACTTATTTTCCTCTCCTGCAAAGTGGGAGTAATAATACTTGCATTATGTGCTTCACAGTGTTGTGAGGAAAGTGCACAGTGAACCTTAAAATGTTGTATCAATTTGAAGTATTTTTTGGTAAATTTTGTTCTACAAAGACCATCATCCATCAATAACCTATAACTTTTAGACTAGATATATTGTTAATATTGACCCCCACAGGAGACATGATAATCATTGGTTAGTGAACATTGATATATTAAATATAACCCCAGTTCTCTCATCCACTCTTGGTCACCTGAATTCTTAAAAAAAAAAAAAAAAAAACTTCCTGAAACTTGAAAGTATTTTTTTGTCTCTCCTTGCATAGAACATTGCTTTCATCCTTCTTCCTGTGTTTTCAAGTAATCACAAATCTGTAATGTGTACATTTTTGCTAGTTACAACTTTGCAGATGAGGAAAGTATATACATTTGCTCCACAACTACCACTGACATTCCTTACAAAGATATCCTCTTCCTTGAATTTGTGTTATAGAAGTGATCATAATAGTCAAACTTTAAAAGCCAAATTGTCTTCTTTAATCTACTTGTAAAAATGTTGTTGGGGAAGGGCCCAGGCCAAAAGCACACCTCTGGGTGATGTGATGTGTTTTGCACCTGTTGTTTTTTTTTTTGTTGCCTTCTTGGTGGCCCATGTTTTGAGCTACATTCTGGTAAAGTAAAGGATGTAGCAAAAAAAAATAATGGGGGAACCTTGAAAATAATGGTAGGAGAAGAGCTTTTTCCTAGGACCCTCTTGTCACTGGACATCTTTTTTTGGATGGGAGCTCTGTGTGTGACATACATATAGTGAATAGGGGTGTGTGAAAAGGCAGTAATATTATAGACTGAAAAAAAGCATCAAACCAACAACGTAGATTGTTCACCAACAATTAAATGATCACATATGGAATTTTGACTGTATTTTAATATTTAAAGTGAAAAACTTAGGATAATCTTCATATGAAATTTGGAATCCACTGTATTTTAATATTTAAAATGAAAATCTCTGGATAGTCTTCATATGAAATTTGGAATCCATGCCGTTCCCTCTTAAAAATTGGCCTGGTTTTCATGTTGGCTGTAAATATGCAATACTGAAAAATCTCATAACTGCTCTTATATTCAGAATATGGTAATTTATACTCCAAAAACCCATTTTTTTTCCTTTTTTCTCTTTTTTTTCCCTAGCATACATAAAAGGTGGATGGATCCTTAGAAAAGCCTGGAAAATCTACAACAAGTGCTACATAGACATCAATGCCCTACAGGAACTGTATCAGAAAAAACTAACTGAAGAACCCTCAGATGCTGCAAATGATAATCACGTTGCTGTGGAGGGAGTGTCAGAGGAATCTCTAAATAGACTGAAAGGGGCTGTTAGCTTTGGATATGGACTATTTCATCTTTGTATATCCATGGTGCCACCAAACCTTCTCAAAATCATCAACCTGCTGGGTTTTCCTGGAGACCGAATGCAGGGCCTTTCTTCATTGATGTATGCAAGTGAAAGTAAGGACATGAAGGCTCCTTTAGCTACGTGAGTAGCTATATTGCAATGCTTTGGTAGATATTATAGTGTTGAAAGTAAGTAAACTACAATCAAAGATGAGACTTTAAAGGAAACAGCAGGTAAAACAATCCGTTGCTTGACACAATGTGATGCCTTATAAAACTTGTTGCATCATTGGTGGCTTTTATTCTGTTGGAGGATGATACTGTAATGTAGAATTTTAGGTAGACCATCTATTGTCTTAACATTCTAATGAGAATTTTAATTGCACTTTAATCTTGTTAAGTGAAGGAATCATAAAATCAGAGACGTAGAGCTGGAAAGGCACCACCACCCCAGAGGCCATCTAGAACAACCTTTCATTTTACAATTTCAAATGCTTTTTGAAGTTGTACAAATACTGATTTGGGTTTGAAATTGTGAAAGTTCATTATACATTTTTATACTTTCCTAAGAATTCTGTACTTACAGAGACTTTAAATGTTCGAAATCTAGTTCTGTGTCACATTAATCACTGAGCTGGTGTCATAAGTATGAACTACATTTTACACATCAGTCAAACTCAGCCATATTATTTTGTTCTGTCGGTGCAATAAATGGAAACATGAGTACTTGAACAGGTGGGCAGAGGAGATGCTTCTCTCCAGCTAGAGCAAAGGGTTATTAGGCAAGTCTCTTAATTCCATGGTAGTCACCAGTGACATCATTGAAGGTTATCTTTGGGAAATTGACTGTCAATTGACATAAAATAATGATACAAGAGAACTTCTTTCTAGAGTTACACTTTACCCCTACCTGTAAAATCCTTCAGATAAGGCGATGCTATCAAAGGAGACCTTTCGGAATTTTTGGTGTAAGTACAGTGCCTGGCACTTAGTAAGTGCTTAATAATGCTTGTTCACTGACTGACATGCAAGAGAATTTGCTCTCTAATTCAAGATTCATATTTATTTACGTGTTGCAGTGATTAGAACTGGCCTTGGAGCCAAGTAGATCTGAGTTCAAGACTTGCCTCTGATATATAACTATATGTGTGACTCCAGGCAAATCATTTGTCCTATGTGCTATGCAACACAGTGTTACACTATTCCATCTATGCAACTCTCTGAGACTAGAAGTTGAGAGAAAGGGCCAGACCTGTGTTGGTAAAAGGAGCTTCTGCACGTGCTAGTGAAATCATCTTTATTTTATAATTTGGAAAAGTATCTACCAATACAGTCCTGTGAAAATAGTAGAAACCATAGACTTTCATTCCCTAAATTTGAGTTGGAAGGAACCTTAGCAGTCTCTTAGCCCAGGCAATACCTGAGAAGATTTCCTGCTATCATTTGTCCTACAAGTGGTTATCCTGTCTCTGCAACAGAACCTCCAGTGAGGAGGAACCCCCCACCTCTGAGAGAGCCCAGTCGACTTTTGAATAACTTTAATGGTTCCATTTTTGCTGACATTGAGACTGGATCTTCTTTGTAGCTTCCAACCATTGCTTCTGGTTCTTACCTCCAGGCTTAACTAGAGAAAGTGTGATCTCTTTTCCACTTGACAGATGCTTGAATAGAGCTATCACATCCCTCAAACTTTTTGTTCTCTAGGTTAACATCCCCAATTCTTTCACCTGGTCCTTATGTGACTGAACTGAAGGCCCTTCACCATCCAGTTGCTCTCTTCTCCAACGTGACGGTGTCCTCCTAAACTGAGGTGCCTAGAATTGAGCACAGTATTCCAAATATGACCTAATATGGGTAGAACCCAGCAGTACCTTCTTATTCCTGGAAGCTAGGCATCTCAAAATGGCACTTGCTGTTTTTGCTTGTCTCGTTATTCATGTGGACCCCACTGATTTTGAAGATTTAATGAACTCATCCTATCCCATGTCTGAATAGTCCTTTGCAATGGTTGAATAAACAAACTAATAGTGTAAAAACAATTGTCAGAGAAATACTTGTTCTTCTTAAGAGAACAGACCAAAACTTCTAGAATTTTGTGGAAGGTGGAAGGCTCAGTGGACTTGGAGTGAGAATACTTGAATCAAGTCCCAACCTTGCCATTCAAGTAACAAATATTACTCTCGCTGTGCCTTTGTTTCTCTATGGGTTCAGTGGGGATACTAATACTTGCACTACTTACTTCCCACTATTGTTGTGAGGAAAGTGTTTTACATATGTAAAGTGTTATAAAAATGTGACCAGTTACTGGACATGCTCATTTACCTGTGATCGCCATGCCAGTTATTCATCACTTTTATTTATTCTTTCAAACAGGTATTTTGTTAGATTATATTAAATGATGATAATTCCTTATAAGCAATAGAATAACTGTTCTTTTAACATTATATAAGTCATATTGGCTTTATCAGTGTCAGGTAATGATTTTACTGAATTTTTAAAAGCTTATTGTATTATAATCATCCATTCCAACCAATAGCTAGGTGTAATTTGCGATTAAGTTTTATAATAGTGAGGTTCTATCTTTTTTTTTCCCCAGATCATTTTATGTACTTTAATCCAGTCATTGTAATTTGAGACTGTAGCTTGTAATTTTCAATTATCAATGTCAAGTTCCGAGGTCTATACCACTAAGCTTTGTTAGTTATATCTATTAACATCTATTACTATTTGTATAAAAATGTATTTATTTATTATACCATAAGTATAATTAACTGTCTTTGTTGTGAAAAAGGCAAATTATATGCCCACTGGAAAAAGTGGAAAGGACATGGTAATTCTCTTATTTCAAGGGGCCAAAAGTACATAGGATCTCAAATTTAGAGTTGGAAAGGACCACAGTGTACAGATATGGAAACTAAGGCCTCTGGTTGAAGGGTTAAGATTTTTAATTTGTGCATTGATTTCATTTGCATTGTACTTCTGTTTGCATTCAATTTACAAGTAAATAATTGTTTGAATTTTGACTAGCTGTTTGTTTGACTTGACTCTCTACCTGCCATTTTTAAATGACTCAGGAAATAGAAATGTTTCTATTACCTTTTTTAAAAATTAGTCATCTAATTGCAAAGAGTAGACTGCTTTTTATCTTGCACGTAACGCTTTGAGATTTTCAAAGAGTATTGACATAGCTCAAATATATCAGAAGATAGTCTTTTTATTTCTAGAGGCTATACAAATCCAGATCTGGGTAAGAATTATGTTTAAAATGTACTAATTGAAAGGTGTTTGGGGGATGCGGGATATGTGTCCTTAAAAATGAAGACTAAAAAGACCAGTGAAATTGTTTACTTAACTTCACTGTCCTAATTTTCTTTAGATTAGCTCTACTATGGTATCACACTGTAGTTCGTCCTTTCTTTGCCTTGGATGGCAGCGATAACAAGGCAGGCTTGGATGAAGCTAAGGAGATTCTTCTGAAGAAAGAAGCAGCTTATCCAAATTCTTCCCTGTTTATGTTCTTCAAGGGACGAATACAGAGATTAGAGGTACAATATATCTGATTTTTTAAAAGAAAAATATTCATCATGTCTTATACTGATTTTAATAAGGACATTAAAAAATAATGTCAACTTGAATTACATGCATTTTTATTGAAATTCCTACAGAATATTTTTTTCATCATTGTCTATCGGTAAGTTTTCAGATAATATTCTATATTCTGCAAAGTGACCGAAGTATCGTGGAGGGTTATCTTGTTCTTTGTCCTCTTGTGGCGTTATTGTCAGTAAAGAAAATGGCAGGAAATTCAGTTATTTCCTTTTTAGATGAAGGAGGGCTAATACAAGATAAATGCACTTTAAGCTTAAGAGAAAGAGAAAATTTGTGATTTGGGAGTGCCTTCTCAAACCCTCAGTTTCCTCACTCACTCAGTCAACAGATATTTATTAAAGAATTATGTAATAATTTGTTAATAATTTATTAAACAACTGTTTAAACAGTCAGGCATTGTGCCAGGCTGGAGATATAGAAAGTGGAACAATCCATGCTTTCGAGGAGTGCTTACGTTCCTTCCAGGTCCCCCAGCTCCAAATCCAACACTGTAGCAGATCTGCACAGCCAGACTCCTACTTCCAGAGCATTACATCAAAAGCCTTGCTTTTGATCTAGAGACAGCATCTATTTTAGATCTCTCTTTAGAAATTCAGTAGAATTCTCATTCGCCTACCTTTTTTTTTTTAAACCACTCTGATGGTAAATGCTGCTGGTTCGAGGAAGCATTTTACTTCTTGATAGTTTGGAAAATGACAGAAATGCTAATTATAGAGTTGGGTACATAAACAAAAAGCTATGTAATCTAAATGCAGGTGGCTATTGATAGAGCAAATGTGGACTGACCCACGGTACAGTTGAGTAGTTGAGAAGGTTAGTAGCAGCTATCTGCCATCCATCTGATTAATCTGCTGCTGTAGTCCAGTAAAGGTTTTTAGCCAGCTATAGTCTTTCATGAGAGCCATGATGATTCACTCCCTGTGTTAAAAGCTTTATTTTACCTTCTTATTAGTTGATTAATATATGAGACTTCCTTAATGTTGCTTTTCTTTTAGGGGGAAAATCATTCTGTTAACTACATGCATTCCCTCCTTAATACAATTATTGTTCCTCTATAAATACCACATTAGCAAAAGATAATTTAAAGTGGCACTTAGTTCTATATGATACTAAATAACCAAAGAGCTATCTATTTTCATAGCAGCATTATTTATAATTGCAAAAAAATCTGAAAGCAGTCTGAATGTTCAACAGTGGGGAAATGATTAAATAAATTGTGGTACATTCATGCAGTGGAATATTATAATTCCGTTAAGACAGAGAAGTATGAGGAATATTAGGAAATATGGGAAGCTTTTATAAAACAAGACAAGCAGAAAAAAATAGAATCCAAAGAACGGGGTTCATATTGATTTATGAACATACCAGAGAAAAGGTAACTATGAACAAATGTACAAAAAATATTGTTCAGGACTAAACTGAAAACTTATGACATTTTATAATTTGAATTTTATTTATTTAAATGTAAATTGGTGCCAGGTTTAATCTGTTGTATTTATGTTTATTATTATATAAAATATTTCTTAAAAACTAAATGTGACAGTAAGCAGACTGACTAAAATCAGTCAATTAGTAAACATTGATTAAGTTCCTACTGCGTGCCAGGTCCTGGGTCAAGTACGAGGATACAAAGAAAGGCAAAGCATAGTCCCTAATCTTGAGGCGTTCAAAGTCTAATGGATAAGACGAGATGCTCACACAAATATGTACAAAAGAGAATTAATCTTTCTGAGTCTCAAATACTAGCTTATATTATCACCGGCCCATTTGAGTTGTGACTTGGGCCACTGGCCAACAATCATTATATCAAGGTTCAGTTATATTCAGATAGATCTATGATCTCATTAATGTGAGTTTTCCCTCATGCCGCAACCCATCATTTAACTGCTCATCCTAGGAGACTCTGGTCCGTGTCCTCCTATCACTTCACCCCAGGATGTCTCTCCAGCTTACTGAGGGCTTTCTTTGCATTCTTTTGACATTGCAAGACTACCAAGGAAGCCTGTGTGCTGTCCGTCAGTATTTCTTGTTCTCTATGAGACCAGCCCACCTTTTTTTTTTTTTTTAAGTGTGCACATTTCTTTGATTTCCTTTACACCACTTATTCTTTATGGTCTCTTGTTTGTGATATGTTGTCACCTGCTTACACCCACCATGCATTTTTGGTGATTTGCAATTTCAGTTCTTCAGAGACTATAGTATTTGATGACTTACTGCCATTCAGACACTCTTGGGAGTACGTTGATGATAAGTGATGGTCTTTTTGTTGGTTTTGGGTGAGAAGCTTGGCATATTAAAAGGATTTTGCTATTTTCAAAAGGCATTCCATGTTTTACTTACTTTTATTTATACACAACCTCCATAGGTTCATTCAACTTCATCCCATCATCTGGACAATAGACTTTCCACATTTACTTGGTTTTACCTATGTGGATAGTTAGGCCAAATTCATTGGATTATGGATCTTTTTTAGGATGTTCTTTAATGTTCCAGGTGTTAATGCAAATATCTGTAAACACGAGCATCTGGAGGACGTCATTATCCATAGAAAAGCCTTCCTTGACTCAGACTCTACACTGGATCTTCTCTCTGATGGTGTTGAACACCTTCATTGCAAAACAATTCTTGAATTTTTTTTTTCTTGGCAGTGGCAATCAGAATTTAGGATCGATTGGTTTTTGGTTACCTTCTCCCTTTTTCCTCTTGTTTTCATCAGTAGTATTAAGTAACTAGCCTGGGGTTTATCCAGAAAATTTTTCAGAATTCTTTCTTCTAGAGTTTAGGGTTATCTAGTTTGAGGTATTATATCCTAAATCTAATGGCTTTCAAGGTATTTTATAAAATGCACTTACTCTCAGGGAATGTCATATATAAATATGGAAATTTTTAATTGATTTCAGCCTTTGCATCTTGAGAATTATTTCAGACACTAAAGCTGGTCTAGTAGACAGTAACCCCTTTTTAAAAATATAAGTTCCGAGAGGGCTGTTTAAAAGAGACACTTAAAAAAAAAACACCAAAAAACTGGTAATACTGTTGTGCCTTTCAAGTAGGAGTTTAATAAATATTAATTATTGTTAGCTGTGAAGGTTAAAATAATATTCTATAGAGTAAAGAAATAAAGGATTCTTTTTGTTTAACTAGTTGACTACATTATATTAACAATGTATTGATTAGGAAAGAACTATGTATATCCATATTATATCTCTTTCAAGATTTCCTTGAAAGCAACTGAACAACTATGTAGAATAAGCATTTATTTTCCTTCTGTTTCTACTTTATGGTTATAACCAAACAATTTTGAGCTAACATTTCCTTTTTTAACTGCTTGATCTGGTTGTGAATTGTGGTTCCAATTGTAGACCATTTTCTCACTTTAAAACAAAATGAATTTTTCTACCTCTATTAGTTTCTGGGAAGAAGGCTGACAAGCAAGTGGACTCTGTTATTAATATAACTCTAGAAATAAACCAAAACATCACAGAAAGTAATACCTATGGCTTAATTATAAAATCAAGGCTCATTAGAGTTTTCTAATAGTTGTAATCTGACATTCTCATACTTGCTGAATTTGTGCTCCATATAATTAAATTAGTACTCTCTTCTCTTGCTATGATGTTATTTACCAAATAGTGGAAATCAGAATTTGGCATTCAAGGTTAGTTATTCAAAGTTCCAAAATGATCTAGTTATGGAGGGTTCCATAGAATGAATGTCCAATAACAACATTATGACTCCTTTACATATGTGTATTTATCGATATCTAATCCAGTAATCAAGTAAACATTATTGTATGCCTACTACTTTCCAGGAACTGTGCTAAGTACTGAAGATACAATTAATCAAAAGAAAAACAGTCTCTGTCCTCAAAGAGTTTACACTCTTAAGCGGGAGACAGTATACAACAGGATGCAGGAAATTGGCAAGGGGACATCAGGGGCTAACTGATGCAGGAACATCTTGTTCCTTAAAGTTGAAGCCAGTCACAATAGCAGATGCAATGTGGAGTGAGCTGAGCATCCATTTTCTGCCTTCTCTAAAAGAAGTAATTGGGATGAGTTTGGTATTCTGCCCTTCAGCCCTTCAGTCACAGGGGAGAGGTGACTGAGAGAGGTAATGTCAGTCAAAGCTTGAGTTAACAGCATGGTGTTGAGTTTAAAAGTGATGAGCTTATTCTGGAGAGTCATCTTGTTCTGTGTAGTTGAAACCTCTGGGTATGTGGGTATATGTATGTATATGTGTGTATAGATGTATGTACACACACATCTATACACACATATATACATATATACATATATATATACACACACACACACACTTGCACACACCTAAAAATGTTATCTGTGTTAAGAGTTGGCTTAACTCAAGAAAAACATATTTAAGAACATCTCTCCTACATAAACTCAAATACTATAAAGATACTTTCAGCTTTTAGAAAAGACAATTTAGAGACAGATGATACTACAGAACATAAATTTAAGAGATTCTTTTTCAGTTTTTCTGTTTTTTATGTAAGAACTTCCCTATTTTACCCAAGTATTCATTTACAGATCACTGAATACTTGACAGACTAGGGCACAGAGGAACTTTCAGATAAACTGTTAGAAGCTATTCCTGTTGAAAATTATTCCAAAATGAAGATAAAGTATTGCCAAAATCTAAGTGAGTTGGAAAAAAGTATGGTTTATTTGAACAGATTTTCAAGAGCACAATTCCTGTGTAAAATGAAGTATCGCCACAGTCAACTCTTGATCATTCATCACATGTTTAATCTTGGCCTTTGTAAGTCTGTGATCTGCTTGAAGACTAATGACTGATTCAGAAATGATTCAGCAACCACAATAGGTCATTTCTTGTCTGTTAAAATAAAATCATTTTTATATTTTGGTATATTATTTAGGGCCTTCTATGTTGAATACCTTCTAATTATTTTCTT